AGTGATCTCACCACTGCACCACCCTTGCTCTTATAATAATGTGCATGCAAAATAACTGCTATCTCTAGGACACGATCACTCTGAATGGGCATCATGTTTCTGATACCAAAAATAGATTACAGACAGATGTGCTTTCATGTAATTATTAATGACCATTCTCTGAGCATTCCAAGTCCATCTATAAGTCCTAACGAAAACTTGATTACCTTTCTAATTTTGTACGAAACAATGATTCAGCTTTGTAATTATGTTACCATTTTTATCATGTGTGGCATCATTCTGTTCAACATGTCATTGATGGAAAGCTTGACTTTATATTATGGCCAGAAAGTCTAACATGGTTGCTGTTTACCGGTAATTCTTTTTCTTCAAATAAAAAGAGTCTTGCCCGGGTGAAAAAGAATCCCAATCAGTTTTATGGCTATCTGAGCTTTCCACCAATTTCACATTGGATGGAATGATGTTATCCTGATGATCCAAACTTTTGCCTTGTATCCTGTATTTTTAAAAAATTTTTTTGCAGGCTAATTTTTTGATGACCTGCAGGATTTTGTAAAGTTCAGCAAATAACAGTCTCAGTAAATAAGCGAAAAAAAACAATTTGTTTTTTACCTGTGACAGTATTTGTAATACTAATGCTTGTGGGGCCAAGCAAATGCGTGAAACAAATAATAATTTAAATCAAACATAATAGTAGACTGGTCATAGTCCCCCATTTCTTCGTGAGATCGTTTAGATATACCGTGTCTTACCATCACAGATATCTTGATTTTCAAATGTACCGAGGGGGCGGGCGTCAGTGATTATAGCTCAGTAATTTTGACACTCATGCAAGATGGGTAGCCCATAACACAAAGCGCTCGATCTCGATGATCTTATGGAAAAATAGAGGACTGTGAACAGTCTAACATAATAGGGATATTTATGAATCCTAACTCGCTGGAGGCAAACCAATTGGCTATTTACTAGCATAACTGAGGAGTTGAACTCGCGACTATCGAGAAGAAATCCAGGTAGCTGTCATGAGGGCAGAACTTGAACTAGGGGTTGGTGAAATTGCAGGTCCAGCACTCTAACTGCTTGACCACAGTGCCTCGCCAGCAGACTGTCATTGTTTTATTTATGATGCAAAAATGTCCTTTCTGGAGTGACTGCCCCATTGACATTATTCCAGATCTTCTTGTACATGAACCAAAAAAGAATAACAGATCCAGTTCTTCAATCCTAGTGCCGATATGAGAATAGAATACATGAATACCTAAGTGTTGTGTTTTAGGACTTGCTTGAAATACAAGCAGATGCAATACAGAAAGGACAGAAGGTTGTTATACTAGATGACTTGCTTGCTACAGGGGGTGAGTAAGCAAAAAGTTATAATTTGATGATATTTACAGTAATTTCATGGGACATGTATGATCAAATCATCGAGGAAAAGGATTTCAAAGGTTATGGCCATCTATGTTCTTTTTTCTTATTTGTTATACAAAGTTTCATCTAGCTGTTTGAAGAAGCATTTAGCTATGGTTTAGCTATGGTTTGTTACCTTGAAGTGGTCGAATTTAGTGTTGGCTATATATCCCAGCGCACCTTAAAACCAAAAAAAGTAGGTAAGTTGACGTTTGTTTGATTATTTTTTACCAGGTACCCTTCAAGCAGCATGTAAGCTGGTTCAGCAGGCCGGTGGCGAGGTGCTGGAGTGTGTTCTGTTGGTTGAACTGGTGGAACTTAACGGAAAAAGCAAAGTACCTGCTCCTTGCTTTTCACTTGTTCAGTTTTGAAAAGAAATTAATATTAACACAGGACCTTTCTACATGTACGTCTTATTCAAAAGAGAGTTTGTGATTGGAACCTAATACATTCTTACCTTCCGTAAGAGATTAATTAAAATGCTAACATTTACAAGTACTGTAGCTTGAGAGAGTCAGACTACAGGGGGGGCCTCCAGTGTGCTAGGAACCGGTTGGATATACCCACCAGTTTGAACAGTGGAACCTTGATATAACGAACCTCCATATAACGAAGTCCTCGATATAATGAACTATTTTGTCAACCCCAGAGGGGTCGCACTTGAAGGTTGGGCAGTATTTCTAGGCCAAGTTTCATAAATCTTTTAACGTTGAGTACTCGCAGCAGCTGGCGTGTGCCGTTTAGCCCAGTAATTTTCTTTATTTTATCGCCAGACATAAATAGGTTTTATCCAACAGGTCCCTAACTCAGTCCTTCGTCAGAAATCTGATTTTGAAGTACCCATTGTTGACTTAACATAGGCACGGGAAATCAATAAATCGTTAAACGATGATTTTGAGCTCCTCTTCAAGATTTGTTCTGGAAGAGAAAAATACTAATGCCAGAAAAGTTGATTTAGGAGCATGATTGCATTCGTTAGACTATTTTTTTGGTAATGGTTAGACGAATGTTGATTTTGGCGTTTCTTGTATAACATTGAACGGTTCTAGAAGGTAGCTTAATTTTGATTGATCAAACTTTTGGAATCTTTTGAGACTCAAATATTAGGCTGGTTTACACGGACAAGTTAAACTGAAGTAGGTTGAACTTTACGTGGAGGTTATTGCTAATCCCTTATTGTCGGTATCTTAATCAGTGACTCAGTTGTCAAATACACATCCCGAAGCTTGTTTGAACTTCCAGAGAAAGTTTCAGCCACTGAAAAGTTAGCCAGCTTTGAGAAAACGTACTGGAGAATTGAGCCACTATCAGCCGAACATTGATTAACTGTCATCACGTACTGAGATTCCATTCACGTTTGGCGCTACAACTCGTGGGGGCGGGGGGTTGGACTGACTATACGGGGAGGCTCCGCCCGAAAGGGAAATCTGGCTGTGACAATGTATAAAATCCATAATGAACTTTCCCCGTTGAATCCGAGGCGGATCTTTACCAACACCTCAAATGTACACACACACAATCATTAGAAATTCTGAGTTAAATTATGTCCCAAGACTCCGAGCTGAGTCTGAAAAAGGGAGCCTACACTACAGAGAATCTGTTCTATGGAACAAGATTTCCTCAGAGATTAGAAACCTGCCTAGCTTAAATGTCTTTAAAACTTCATGGGAAAGATTATTTAATACACCCTGAATCATTGTAACCCTTATTATAATTAATAGTCAAGTAGTTCCTTAGAGTATTTTAGTTAAATTTTACACCCGATTCCTAGGAAGACCATGTAAAAGTGATACGATGTCGTGAATAAATAAAGATTGATGATGATGATGATGAGCGTTGGAAGGATTGATAAACATTGTTACAGTACGGTAATAACACCTACCTTACTCAGTTTCTGTTCATCTCAGATGAAAACGCTCATTACCGTCCGTTCCTCCAACTGAACTATAGCAAACCCGAGTTAATGCTCCATGGATCTTCTTGTTCTTGAGACAAAACCTTGTCAGTTCAGGAACAACGAAACAGTCGGAGAATGGGATTAAAGTGGCCCGGGTTTAAGTCCCGGAGGCGACGCCATATACCGTTTAAGTCAGTCTGTTGTTGGTTTTCTTCCTTGATCCGAGAGCTTTTTCTCCGGGTACTCCGGTTTTCCCTCTCATCAAAAGGCAACATTTAAGCAAATGCAGCTCGCTCCGGAGATTGGAACAAAAAACTTGGATGAGTTACCACTAAAATCATATGTAACTTACTTTAAGCAGCTGCGGAAAAAAGTGTAATTTTTTTCCACAATACCGAAGAAAGAGAACCCTCTAAGCAACTGATCAATAATCCTTGATTACTCTGGAAGAAAACGACTATGAGCATTCTACAAGAGGAACATCGTGAATTTTGGTTTTGCGGAATTGACCGTTTTTAGAATCGTTTTTACGGTTTCGCATCGAAAATATGCGATTTTTTGGTTTTTTCGTTCTTACAGTTTACGGTATCTCTAGTTTTCCACATTCGGATTTCGGTTTTGACTAAAAACTTAGAAAAGCGATTATTGATAATTACTTTAAGTAAAAAGAAAATTTCCGTCCTTTTGTGGGTTTTGCGGTTATTTTTTGCGGTTTTGTGGTTTTTTAATAAAGGCCCTAAAGGAGCTCGCCAGATTTGATAAAACATGCAAGCGCGCATGAAAAATACTCGCTACGTTTTCCTGCTTTTTCATTTATTGATTTAAGAGTTTATTTTTTCACATCAAGGTCAAGGATAAGTAACCTTAAAAAGTGTCTCAAGGATGTCGCTCTCTTTTGACCTGCAACTCATAGGCTATAGTCGATTTCAGCTTCTAATTACGCTCCCCTAGGATCAGAACCAAGTTAGAAGCTAACTAAAGGAAGTTCTATTAGTTTTAGTTATAGAAAATCGTACTGTCCATTTTCCACTCTTAAGGCACACTTTTAGGCACTCTGCAGTTTAAACTCTCGCCACCTTTCGCACTCAGTTGAAAGACGCTTAAAGAGTACTCGGTTCATGGTCCACCAACAATGTTAAGTATTCAATCTCTCCTTTTCGTAATAAAGCTAATTGATAAAGGAATTTTAACAACGGAGGAGCCTTCCGTTATGGCGCACGATTACTGCGGTACGCTGTTTGGCATGATCATTTTAATTAATCAAGCCAAAGGAAATGAAAAAAAAAAAACCGAAAACCCTTGTCTAGTGATTTCCAGAACAAAGGAATGAAGCAATAAAATTCAAATTAGTGATTGCTTTCAAAATTCGACCCTACCCAATTTACGACCATTAGAGAATTGTACATGTTAATTTGGTTCTCGCTAAGGCTTTCGTTCTTAAACAATAGCTACTTTTTGAAACTTGGGATCGTAGCTAAACTGTAGGATGAAATATCAACTACCTAAAGTCTAAGAAGCCTTGCTAAGGAATTTGAGTTCAGCTAGCTGTCAAAATTGGCATTTTCTGTCCGTCTTGTTTATTCACTTCAACAAACAACTCTTTTGATTTCAGTTAAAGCTTTGTCAGTCAATCAAAAGCGAACATTTACTGAAACAAAAGAGCGACGTGTTAATATATTCGAGGATATTGCAGTAATAAGAGTAAACTGTCGTTGCTCTTCCGATACATTCTTGAAGCATTAATCACTGAGAACGGTCAACGTCTCAATTCACTACTGAAAATTTGCCCGCGACAGGAATTTAGGACAAATTTCGAAACAGACGCTCTGTAAAGGCCGGCCCTACATAAACTACGGCCAGCACGTTGTGAGCAAAAGGTTAATTGCCTTGTGCTGCACTAAGATGAAATTTGAAGATGTTTATGAGGTAAAGGAACTAATTGGAAAGGGATCTTTCGCGGAGGTAAAGAAATGTGTTCATCGGAAAACGCTACAGCTGTTTGCAGTCAAAGAAATCCACTACATCAATGCAGAGGAGAGGGAGAAAGTCGAAAAGGAGTCGGAGGTTTGTATGCTTTGATATTGGCCCAGTGGAGAAGGGATTTAGCAAAAGGTATCGAGTTAAGGGCGATGCGATGCTTTGAAAGTAAAACGCGCGGTTTTTATGGTTGAGTGAGTGCATAGCAAAAACGATTGATTAAGCCCTGGCTATAAAGAGTAGCGGGACTGAGAATAAATTTAATCAGTGTTCAGGGCTGTGAAAAGGGTGATCATGCTGCATAGATTACTTGTCTGAGGACTTAGAGCGTCTGTAATTAAACAAATCCACTCAAAGGAGTCATTTTGATCACGGTTATGTTTGTTTTCAAACCAATTCTTCTATAACTTAGTGCTGTAACCGTAAGTTTCTGATTTCAGTTGGCAATAAATGTTAGACTATTATATAAAAGGAAAAGTATTTTTTTTTCTCAATATTCTGGATCGTTCAATATAATTTGAATATTTCTTAATAATCAACGGTTATGTGGCATATCAAATATTTTAACATCAACCAATAGTCTAAAAAGGAAGTCCTGCTTCATTACTTCTAGCAATGACATGAACCAAAACCTGCACCCAGAACTGAACTGCTAAGAAAATACAGCTTTATAATGTCATCAGAATTTCGGTTATAATTTAAACTTTAGGTTAATTTACTGAGTTGTCTTTCAATGTATATGATATCTCGGGTTGAATTCGTGAATTCGCTATTCATATAACAATATAATTAAACATGCGTTTTAAAAACTAATTATGTAGAATCTGGTAGGCTTAAATTTGGGGCCTTAAAAACCCTATGTTATAATAAACAAGTTCTTATTTTGAAATAAAAATACACACTTCAGCATGAAAGAAAAACTTTAAGTTTATAAGGCAATCGCCAAATTTACTGTAAAGTATAAAACATTTATGTACTCTCTTGACTCAAAATCTTTTTCTCTACTAAGGACTAAGGTTTGGACCAGCCTATATTACGTTTTCAAAACACGTTTCTCATTTTTGGATTTGAGATTATTACCCAATTAACACGATACGTTAGCTGGATTGTTTTACGACTTCCGCCGGGTCTTGATGGTATACAAAAGATCGTCCAATACTTTTGGCTTGCTAATACTCTTGTTGCCAAATTATCGCTCAATAAAAATACTTCTTTTCACGGCACAAACACAATTAACAATGCGTCTTTTTTCTACTTCAAAAATGGCTTTGGCTTTTGATTTCCTCTACAAAGAGACCTCTTGACCGTTGCGCTGCTTTTCAAAGTGGTGTTAATGGTCTACTATCTCATCAGCATGAAAAGCCGGTTAATGAAATATTTTCGATCGGGCGAGTAGTTAAAATCGGTCTGGAACTGATTTTTTTCAATAAAATTACCGTAAAAACCCGAGACTACTCAAGGACTTGGATTTTCCTAAGTTACTCATAAACAGGTTCTTACATAAATTTTAATTAGCACAAATTTTTAGGCTGTTTAGGGTCTTAAAGAGGTTCTTATTTTCAGGAGGATAAACTCAGCTCATTTCTTTAAGTAAAACCTGAAACCATTACAATTACAGTTGGAGTGATAAGGCACTGTGTCTCCAAAGAGGATCCTGAATGTTGATATATCTTTTTGTCCTAGAGTACAGAATTTTTTTTTAAGGATTTTAGAAAATAAGAACCTGTTTCAAATTTTAGGCAAAACGGGTTCTTGTATAGACTAGGCCCAACTGGCAAATTTTTCCCCAAAGGTTATTAAAAACTAGGTCAGTTCTTAGTGGCGGGTTTTACTGTACTCTTTGCCCAAATTACATTTATGGATTACTTTTACTGTCATTACAGTGATATTAACAGGGCAGGGCCCAATATGAGGTCTCAACGAAGAAAACTTTGTTCCCGGAACAAATGATTTCGGATACCCATGAATGGAATACTTGCTCTGTTCTCAGGCTTTCTTTTCGTTCGTTATAACACGGAAAAGTGCAAACTTGCTTCGCGATATTGTGACATTTAATTTTTCTTTTCTTCGGGGCACGGTTTTCTTTCCCTTTGTGATATTTGGCTTTTGTTGTCTCAGTGTATATTAAAACACTTGCTTGATCAGATCAGATGCTGGACATAAGCTAGCCTGCGTGGCAGGCGTTCGAAAGGGAAGGGGAAGGGAATTAGAGCCCGCTAGACATAAGCATGAATAACTCTTCGCTGCATTTTCTCTTTCTTTCCCGGTCTGGAATTCCCAGCTGTTCCAAATGGCCTGTCAACATTGACCCCAATGCCCCAACTTTATACCACTGGTCCAGTGGTGCTTCAATAACGAAGAGCCAGCGGACTGACAATTAATATGTTTGTTATAATATAACGAGGTTTCGATAAATCGAATTTTGTTTTTCATATCACTATTTTTCTATTACTGGGGTTAAAAAAAATAGTTCGTTATACCGAGGACTTCGCTATATTTTTTACATGAGGCAGAGATTGAGGTTCCACTGTACAACTCTGGTCTTTGTATTCCACAAACTCTTAAACTATCTTGCCAGGACTTGATACTTCACTTGCTCTTCCATTCCTATGGTCGTTTTCACACCTGTTAGCCGATGGGTGCCAGACAACAAATGGTTGCTTAAGGTGACCTATGGTAAAGCAAGACTCCCCGATGACATGCATATTCCTCAGCGATCCAACACCTTTATTTTTATTGGAATTCTTGAGGTGCCCAGAATACCACAGGTGTAGCCACGCTAATGATGATAGTGATAATAATGACCATGATGATGACGATGTATTATGATTTATTATTATTATTATTATTATCATTATTATTAGTACTATTTTATGGGGGCGATATTCCTGGACACTATTTATGAAACTATATCATACTTATAAGTATGATGAGGCAGTGTAGGCAACACTTAAGTTTCAGTAAATAGTCGGAAAGCTTTCAGTACAAAACACATATATTTGTAGCTTTTAAAGATAAAGCAGCTCAGAGACGTGAATATCGTCTGCTCTACCTGCAGATTCTGGAAAGGCTTGATCACATGAGCATAGTTCGTCTGGAGCAGGTGTTTTATGCTGAAGGAAAAGTGCTAATGGTGTTAGAGTATCTTCCTGGCGGGGATTTGTTTGACGGCCTGGTGTCGAGACCTCATTACAGCGAGAAAGATGGATGCGCTTGTGCTCGACAAATCATAATGGCATTAAACTACCTCGCCAGAAAGGGAGTCATTCACAGGGTAAGAAAATAATAAATCATAGCTAAGAATTACTTTATCATTATCGTAATTATGGTTGCAATGAGGTGCACGAGATTTTTATGAGTCTCTTTAGTTCAAACGCTTTAAAGATATCATGGATCTCAGTAAGTAGACTGAAGCGTTCTGAACTGCTTCGTCGAAACTCTCGCGGGAGCAAGCCATCGTTCCACCTTTCGCGTATCATCACAGGCTCAGTTTTGTAAAGCAAATCGCTCCCAAATTGATGCGTCTGTGTGGTTCAACTGGATAAAACCGGTCTTAAAACCTGTTTATCACGTTTCTACCTCCAAGATTTTGGAGGTGACTAAAGAGCATGCTCATCGGAAACCATAAGCGGCCTGCTGCAGAGGTTTCTCAACGGGGTGTAAACAAAAAGGAAGTTTAACATGCCACTACGGCCACGGTAACGAGAACGTCAAAGAGAAATGGTTAAGATTAGCAAAACAGCACTGCACGTGCATCACGTTTTTTGTACATTTCTTTACCGTGACCGCACGACTACGACGTGAGTTGCCTAATTTCACGTTTTATCGACAACGTGAACAGACGACGACGAATCTCTCTTACTCTTTTTATAAACTTGGATATATATATTTTTTAAGAATTCAACTCCAGGAGAGTTCGCCTACATAATTCATAGTGACCGAGTTGGGATAATCGCGCTAAGGTTTCATAGATCGCGAAGTCACTGTTTAAACTTCGTTTTTGTCGCCGTCGCCGTCTTGGTATCTTAAAAGATAGAGAGCATAAGCAACTACGACGGCGACGTCAATGAGAACGGCAATGACGTAACAGGTTTCTGATTGGCTAAACAACAACTTTGCACGTGAATCACGCTTTTATGTACATTTCTTTGCCGTTGTTGTACGACTACCACGTGAAAGTGTCTAATTTCACGTTTTGTCGAGGAAGGGAACATGAGACAACAACTTTCCTTTTCTTTTCCTGAACTTTGATACAGTCCTTTAGAATTCAACTCCAAAAGAATTTGCCAGCAATTCAGTGAAGAATTAAACGAGATGGAATATGCGCGGTAAAGTTTGAGGCCGCGCAAATTCACTTTTTAAGTGACGTTTTCGCAGCAGTCGCCGTCATCGTTGCTTAAGTTACCTAAACTCCCCTAACCGACTACGCGACAGACAAGCAACGCGAACGACTTTGTAAATGTTAAAAGCCATGCAAGAGAGAAACTCCTGCTGGCAGGGTAATGTGGACAAAACGTTAAGAAATAATCGCTCGCCTGCTATAGTGCAGTCACCTAGGCTTGCGTTACTTCAATCGGTGCCTCTCAGTTGCAATGACGATAAGTTTTCGTTTAGACAGCAGTGTACGCTGGTAAACACGAGGGATTAGATTTAACACTAAACTTTCTTTTTGCAGGATTTAAAGCCAGAAAATCTTCTGTTAGCCGAGAAGCCTTCGGA